AGAAGAATGTAATAGTACAGTAAAGATTTGATTCAATGAACCGTTGACCAGTAAATTAAATATTTTTCAACTGAAAATTCTTTTCCTATTTCAAATCAGTTTGTAACAGGGATCTGGCTAGAGGAGAATTTTCCAAGTACTTTTATATTTTAACTAAGCTTTGGTAAGTTTCCAGATTTGCATTTTAGCTCCTTACCTAGATATGAGCTATGATTTCTGTCCTGTAGAATCTTCTCAAACACATGGCTTGGAAAGGTGGTGACTCTGTCTGAGGATTCTTGTATTACTGTTCCACTCCAGTCATAGGCCCCAACAGCACCCAGCAGCAGAACATCCTTTAAAAAATAAAAGTCAACATTTTAGAACTACCTGATATAGAAAAAGTGTGAGCAAAGCTGCAGTTATCATAGATATTTTTCTATATCACTGTGTTTAAAGCAGTGATGTACAGTTTAAAGACTGCAGGCAGTTCACTGGAGCTGCTTATGGTTGCAGGAGTTTACTGCCCTATTAGGAGGGATTATCACCCCTCCACTGCCAGAGGATAAGCGACTGCTTTAGTTCCCATGGCACTGCAACTCAAGATAAAATGGGTTTATTTAGACACAATTTCCTAAGTCTGTCCACCCTGGGGTTGGGATTGCTAACTCAATGTTTTCATGCACTCATGATAATCAGAAGACTGAGGATCATGCAAACAAAGCTGTAAGAAAAAGCTAAAGCCCCCTTTTTGACAACAAAAGTGCCAAAGACAGCACACAAAAGCTGATGGAAATAGATTCAGAATTTCATTCTTTATGTAAGGAGATGTTCTTGAGAGAATAGTTAAATCTAAACTCCAGTAGAATACTTCATACAGAAATACTTAGTCATAGACTTGTACACAGAAAAGAAACACAGTTTAGTTTATTCAAATTATTAAAATTCTTCACTGAACTCAGATACTGTTATCAAAAACTACAATAAAACTGGACGTGTAATTTTCCTGAAGGAATGTCCAAATGTTTCTTATTTCCTAGCATCAAGTGCTTCATAATTGAAAACTTTAATTTGTGCAAATACGAACAACTTGTAAAAATTATTTCATTCATCTTTAAGGGCTATAAAAAAAGACACAACCTTCTTATATTTTCAGTTGAAAGCTTATTGAACCACACTTGAGTTTTACAAATAGGACCTATTTGGTCAAGATAATCTTGTAATTTATTAGCATTAAAATATCTCCAATTTTTGTTCTTTCTAATTTCTAAATGAAATATAATTTAAAGAATTATTATTAATTTTATAATTAATCAATATTTTCAGACTTGATTTATTTATGTTTTGGTGACTTCCTAGATATATACCAGACTTACAATGTAGTTTCAATTCTTCTGAGTTATTCAACTTCAAGATACAAACATGGAACAGTTGATTTTTTCCTACTACATGAACTCAGAAATCATGGAAATCATTGTGTTAACTCATCTCAAAATCATTAAATGAAAGAAACTGTTATTCAACTTCACATATTAATATATATTTTTTCATTTTAGAGTTATACACCATCTATTAGTGGCATTCAAGTACAAGAAAAATGAAAAGGATAACTTGATATTCACCTGCTTTTAGAAAAGATCTTAAAATTGGACATTGTGCTTTATTACTCTTATTTCATTGCACTCATGTCTACATAATTATATCTACTCTCATTAAATAATTATATTCACATACCTTTTTTTGTGAGTAATACGCACTGAAGCCCACCTGGGACATTTCCATTTGGAAAGTATCACCTTGATCTGTACCTGGTAAAACAGATATCCACATATGGTTAACCCTTCAGAGCCACACAAGACCCAATCTTGCTACCTCTTTAGCTGTCTGTATATATTCAACAATTCTGCTAAAACATTTACAAACAATGGAAATCAGAGCTGGGAAACTACAGAAAATTTGGAGGATTTAATGGGAAATGATAAGATGGAGCCATAATGCTGTAAATCTCTTAAAAAAAAAAGGCAGAAGATGATGATAAAGACAGTTTGAATCAGCTTGCACAGTCTTGTCACTGCGGACAATCTCTTTTTGTGTTCCCTAGGAAGCATTACTAATACATTGAAATTAGCAGCTTAAATGACTGTATATTCACAAGTTTCAAACAGAATATGAATGTAGGACTTATACAAACTGTTGTAATTGTCTTGAAAAATACTGTGACATCTGGGAATATTTCCTAAAGTAGATGGATGGGAATTCAATGTGAGTACTCAGGAAAACTCAAGACAGGGAGCTCAACCTATATTCTTGCTTTGACTACCACCATGGGACCGGTAAAGAATAGATGGGGTGACAGAGAAAGGAAGTTCCATCCTGAGCACAGGAAGGCTGCAGCTCCTTAAGGAGGGCTGGGGGTAAATCTACCTGACTTCAAAGCAAGGCTTGAATTTAAATACAAATTTAAAGACTGGCTTTGGGGGGGACAAAGTGTCTCTGAGTCACCTCTGCAACATCTTACTTCAAACAGTGCACGAAAGCGTGGGTGATGTTAGCGATGGAGCCTGGGAGGCATCATACAGATTGTACTACCGTAGCTTTTCAGTTCCTAAATCAGTAAGCAAGTCTTCTGGTTTGTTTTTTAAATTTGCAGTTGTTTAGCATTCACACAGGTACAGCAGACAAGCATAAAGATGACGGTAATAGTTCCAAATACATTTGGACACATATGGACAACCCCCTTGTCGTGGTTTTGCCCAGCCAGCCAGCCCCTGGGGCTGAGGATGGTTTTGTCCAGGTGGATTTCCAGACAAAAAGCCAATCAAAAGTTCCAGTGACGCCTTTACTAATTACATATTTAAGAAAACGGAAGAGAAGGCTAGTTGCGCAGTTGAAATGTAGGAGCGGTAGCAGGCCCCAGGTGGGGGCCAGGCCCCCCTCCTCCTCCGGCCTTGGGCTGCAGGCAGGTGTGATACTGAAGCTCCCCCTTCTCTCATGTAGGAGAGTGAAAAGAAAAAAAGCTTTAGAGGACTGACTGCTTGGATGAAAAAACCACTGCAGAAGAAATTCCAGTAGAAAGATAAGAGACATCCAAGGTCAAAGGTGACAGGCGGAGGAGAGAGAAGAAAAGTCCGAAGGGGCGGCGGGGGGCTGTTTCTCCCCCCCTTTCACTCTCTCCCTTCAGCAGAGAAAAGACTGAAAAATAAAATCCCTGCTACCTTTGGAACTTTGTTGGGGTGAGGAGACACCCATGCGGCTCACAAAGGAGCTTGTGGATGTACCAGGAAGCCGAGGCTTCATGAGAGGGACTGAAAGGAGGCAGAGTCCTGTTGAACCTACGCTGGAGCAAGAACGGCTCAGGTAGGGATGCTGGAAGATTTGTGACCCTGAGAGAACCTACGTTGGAGCACGAACGGCTTGGGTAGGGATGTTGGGATCCGTGCTGCTGCTGGAAATTTGTAACCTCGAGAAAGATGAGACTTACGCCAGAGCAAGGACAGCTCGGGTAAGATGCTGGGTTCTAAGAAGTAAAAGATCCATGCTAGACTCATGTCGGAGAAGTCTATCAAGGACTGTTCTCCCGTGGGGAGGGACCCCCACAGGAAAACAGAGATGGACTCAAAAACCATTATCCCCTGTGATCCTGTGGTGAAGATCCATGGTAGGCAAGTGTCCCCTTGCAAGTCCATGGAAGAGGAAAACCTTCAGGGCCTGGGTAACCCCCAGCCTCCGGTCTTAGCCCAGGAGGGGGGTAGGCCCAGCCCTTCAGGCCAACACAGAGCAAGAGAGAAAGAGGAAGAGTTCCAGCTGCAACAAGAGTGCTGCAGTTACTGAAGAGACCTGGAGCTCTGAGAATGGAGAAAGAAACTGCTTCTCCTCCTTGGACTGATATAAAGGGGGGAGAAGTATTTCTGTAAATACATAATACTTTTACTTAAGTAGAATTTTTACAGATTTTCTTTAGTTTTAGTTTACTAATAATAAATGTTAATATTATTTTCCCAAATCCAGTCTCTTGTGTCTGCATAAACCTTGTCTCAAAGTAATTGTGGGGGGGGTGCGAGAGCAAATTGATCCAGAGCAAAACCATGACATCCCTACACCTGAAGCCCATGATGAAATGACAGAAATGTTCATCAACTGGGGAATGTTTTCCACAAACTGCAGAAATTAACTTGAAACTCAGGCTTATTAGGGGTGAAGTAGCTGGGGGAACACCTGTGCAAACCAGAGCCTTCCTGGTGAGCAGGGAGTAGCCTGCACCTCCAGCTCCTCTCATTTTCACAACCCTACTCTAAGCTGAAGCTAAATAAAATCCTTCACTTGTCAGCTGGCAAAATGTGATCTAATTTTTCATTGACACTGAGTATTTTACCTTCTATACTAAAAATGCGCTCTCCAAGTGTTCCTGCTTCTTCCAGCAGTGCAGCCTCAGATGACACATTGAAGAAATACTTGTCTGTTGGATGACTAGCAATTCCCTTGATTTCTTTAATTAAGTTTTTAGTATCAAGTTCATGCCTGATTAAGTATCCCAAAACCTTGGGTAAAAAACAGCAAAATGAGAAGAGTGAAAGAAATCATAGTGTTTCCCCATTTCCTTCTGTATTATTTGACCAAATATTCTACATATTAAAAAAAAGAATTACTTTCGATCATATTACTGAATCGTTTATCAGACTGTATTCCTATGGAAGGGAGCATTCAGACAGGAATAATACATAAAACACGGCAAAAGAGAAAACCATTTAAGTTGCTCAGGCAATACTAGTATTGCTCTTTCAGCCAGTAAAGAAGACTAGTATTTCACTAGTTTATAAGGATTAATCTGATTTCATTTCAGTCTCACCAGTGCAACAATGAATGCATTATATACCGCTTATGTATAGAACATGCACTTTCATACATGCACAACAAAACAATCTTTAAAAATTGCAATATTATATAATTTTAGTATTACTTACAGCAATGCCAAATCTGGTTATATTGTCTTCATTGCATTTACCTATCACTGTTTTCAGGTTGGAGCCATCATGTGATTCACCGTCTGTCACAACAACCATTACTTTTGTGGCTGCTGGACGTCCTCCTGATTCAGGTGAGAAGGCGTATTGTCTGTTATAAAACATATATGTCAGTCTCCAATGCATGGAATTCAGTATATATACTGTAATGAATACGTCCATCACTGACTTAGAACACGGTACTTCTGTATTGAATTTTTCTTTGTGAATTAACAATCTGCAATAAGAGTTTTCAGCTATGCTCCCGATAACTTCTTCGCAAACCACTGCTCAAAGAGCCATAAGAAATGTACAAAGGATTAGAAGGAAAAAAAAGTAGGACTGGAAGAACTGGATAGTACTTCTGAATGTTAATTCCCTGTAAACCTGAATATTTTTTTTGTACAGATATTCCTAAACAAAAAGAGGGTTTTGTTGGAACTATTAAAGTTTTATGACACCAGGAGTTGGCACCATCAAGTTCAGACAAAATAGAGGAGAATTAATAATGGGCTCCTCAATACTACTGGAAATATTTACTCTATTGATGGCTGAGACTCCTCTTAAACAAATTTTCAAGGCCATTTGATTCAGCATGCGGTTTGGTCTAGAGTTCTACCCTTGATTCAGCTTAAAAACAGCATCTTCCTGTTGAAAAACAGACCTGGTTTGTATATATATTCAGAGCCACAGAACATTGTTTTAAACTTTTCCTACTTTTCATGCTGCTGGTGCTGCAGTGACAAACTGACAACAGAGATTTTCTTTTCTCTGCAATCAACCAAAGCCTGACCTGCAAAACCAAATCTTTCAGGCCCTACTGAAACTCTGGATAAACTTCTACTTCTTTCAATGGTTTTTTATTCTTCCTAAAACCTTGCCCACTGTATTGATGCACTGTCACGTTTAAACATGTGTGACAGAACAAGGAACTCTCTTGGGTACCAGAATTACATTAGTGTAATGTTTAACAACATGCTTTTCAGCAAGTCTAGTTTACATATTCCTGTACCATTCTGAAATGTACCTGGAGGATTCTACCTACCACTGGGAACCTACTCAGAGGCCCGGAGCAAATTGTCTCCTGGTGGGAATGAAATCAGGATGTTCTCCTTGCTGTTTAAGGTAAGTTACAATAGTTGCACAGTAATCATCAATGTGTCCCACCTTGCATTGTCAATAGCTTTGAAAGTATTAGTGAGATCTCCTCCCTTCTGAGATGTTCTTTCCATTGCTTTAACCACCTCATCCTTTGTTTGATACGTATTCAAGTTGAAGACTACACGGGGATCATTAGCATACTGAATTAAACCCACCTATGCAATAAAAAAATTATGTTAGATTATCATGAATTACAATTAGTTACATAGAATCACGATGCTTTTATCAGGTTGGAATGAAAGCCCTGCAGATGCATAGGAAGTTATAATTTTCTTTCAACACATACAAAACCAATTAATATTAACACATGGAAAACAAAGAAAACTAAAATGCTCTTGCACCTTTATCATTTATTATGGACCTATATATGTTAATGCAAAAATATAAAACAGCAAATATTAAATGTTTGTTTGGTTACTTCTGAAAGAGCTTATGGATAGTAATAATACAAGGACCTCTGGGAAAAATAAGAAAATAGCAAAAATTCTACAAGCTGACAGCACCTTACTCTGATCTCTTCTAAGGAAGTCCTAAAGATTAGTTACTTTGCAGCACTGCAAACCCTATTTATTTTTAATACAGTGTTTAAAAAAAAAAGAGAAGGTGCTAAAGGTGAGGTTCAGAAAGAAGGAAGCCTAGCTTTTAAGCACCTCACTTCCAAATAATCCCAAGGAAGAAGGCAGTCTTTGGGAGAGAGATTTCCAATGCCCCAGTCTTTATTCCCACAGCTCTTTATGGAAAATGGGACAACTGTAAAGACAGAAGGCAATAAAATTTTCCTTACCATCATCAAATTAAAAGGAAAACAGAACTCGAAGATCAGTTAGTAAGCCAGAAGGAAAAACTCCTATTTTAAAGACGTAGCAGTTGGAAAGTAAGAGCTATATGAAAGCCCATTAAAAACCTGTTCTACTTTAATAACATTCCAATAGACTATATTTTAACTACTTTTACAGCAAATGCATGAAAAAGATCTGACTCACCTATGTATAACCTAGACTGCTACTTCAGTTGGTTTATATTTCAAATTAACTTACTAATTCCTTTTGAAATAGGTTAGCTGTGAGGTAAAATCCCCAACACTGAAAAGATTAATTGCATAATCTGTGGCTTTGGGGGAGCTACTGTAGTTGCACTAAATCACATTTGGTTTCTTTTAGATTTTTTTTGTTTGCCTGTTTGTTTTGTTTTGTTTTGTTGGATTTTCCCAAATATGTCTTTGACTTACCTGAGTCTTGTTAAGGCCTATGTCTAAGCCTTGTACAAATTTTTTCAAAAATGCCCTCACTGCATCCCAGGGATAAATGCTGTTTGACTCGTCACAAACCACGACAATATCTATAACAGAGGAACACTCTAAAACAAAAACAAAAAGTGGACATTAAATGAACTTGCAGTCTCAATATACTCTTCAGCTAAATCCAGAGTTTTATTTATTTATTTAGGTCTCACACAGGCAACACTTCAGATCAGAAGGCTTTGCCAGAATGAGGACTCAGAAGAACCATACGCATGTTTGGAGCCTGGACTGGTGCAATGCCTCTGAATACAGAGGAGCAAGACCATATTCACATCAGCATTGGGTCATGATTTGTCAGTCCTTATGTATCAATCACAGGACTTTGCTTTTGGAACATACATTTTTTAAGAAATCAAAATCAACTGTCCTCAACACAACGTAGTTTGACTTAATTTGATATGGGGTTTTGGTTTTTTGTTGGTTGGTGGTTTTTTTGTTTGGTTGGTTGGGGTGTTTTTTTTTTGTTTGTTTGGTGGTTTTTTTTTTTTTTTTTTTTTTTTTTTTTTTTTTTTTTTTTTTTTGTTAGTTTGGGGTGACTTTATTTTTTATTTAGTTGTTTTTAATTGAATCCGTTTTGCACACGTTTCCTTACTTTGAATAGCAGGAGAAAAGCTTCTTAGGATCTGGAAACTTGGACTGATTTCAGAACAAACTCCTGTTGCATAGTATTGTCTTCCACACTGCTGTGCCCACAAGGGACCACAAGTCTTAAAAATAACAACAACAACAAAAAAAGAAACTATAAAAATAACACAGTATTTATCTCACCGTATCTACATGCAAACGCATAACAAGCAGGACTACAGGCATACAGGTACAAACCCACAACAAGGAGGCTAGAAGCAAAGGGTCCTCCCCAAAGATTAGGGGACCCCTCTTGGGTTACCAGGCCAAATCTCTCCAGTCAGTGTAGCTGTTTTCACAGGCTTTCTCACGGGGAGGCTTTCCTAGCCGGAGAGATCCCAGTCCCCCAGGCTGGGCGCAGTTTTCCCCGTCCCTCGCTGCCAGCCCGGCCGGGGGGTCCCCCCGCACCGCCCAGACCGCGCTGCGGCGCCGCCCGCGGCCGCCAGGTGGCGGCAGCGCCCCGGGCACGGGGCTGGTGGGACTCGGACAGCTCACGGCTGCGCCTCCGGGAGCCGCGCTCCGAAGGGAAACTCTTTTTGCCAAAGTATTTACCAGTTAAACTACATCACCTCCAGTGAGAGGGCAGCCTCACAGTGAGCGCTGCTCCCTGTTCAGCCACACTAAAAGAAGTTTGACCCGGCCTCACACGCCCCTCGGCTACATGTTTAATTGCCTTTTGGGGGAAATAATCCCACTTCCCTGATGAAAACCATCTCTGTAACAGGAAATGAGCTGGCCGCATGAAAAATACAACTCTGATATGAGAAGAGTAGGTACGAAAGCACCTGTATAAAAAAAAAAATGAAGACAGTGTTTTGTCATGGGGGGGCGGGCAGCTAGCTGTGCATGGTGGCGGTATATTTTAAAAGAAAATAATATTAAAATTTGGGGAAAAAGAAAAAAAAACACACAAAATGAAATACCTCTACATAACCTTTGTCCAACAGTTCTGTAAGAAATGATAGCTTCCTTATATATACTCTCTGATTGCCCTAGTCAGGAGAGTCTGGTAAACAGAGGATGCACCATCTCTGTTTAGGAAGAGAAGAGAGGGATAACAGCAGTATCACCCTTTTCTCAAGAATACTGCAGTGGGGGAGTGAGAGTGGAAGGGAAGGTAATTAAGGTCAAAAGTAAATGAAAAATGTAGTCACACTACACACTACTTACTACTATCCTATGTGTGACTAACCTGCCACACATCCCACTGTCCTAAGATATTTGACCAGAAATCAAATTTTCTGTATGAGAGGAAGGAAGTGTATCTACATTCTCAGATCTTAAGTGCTCTTTTTAGCTGCCACATAAGGCATGATTAGTTTTCGCTGGAAAAGACAGATTTTTGAGAGGTAAAAGTACAAAATAAGTCATCTATATTGGCAACTACAAATCTGGAGAAGAGCTACTGGCCTTTAAAGTTCTTTTGAGATGAATCTCATTTGCCCATTTTCTAATTTTCTTCTGTATTGGCAGTAACTCAAAACTGTGAGCAAAAATGTTCTAATAATCTTTGCTGACCTTCACTTAAAAAAATGGGAAAAACTCTAATGTTCTAGCATTGTTACAGTCAGAAACTTAAGATGTATCATTAATGCAGGGGAAAACTGGGAGATCAAGGACTGATGAACTTGAAAGGTGGAATACTAGAAAGGGGCACAGACTTGCCTGTCAGGACTTATGTTAAGAAATGCAGACATAAACTGGAAGGTCATTTAGTGGAAGAGAGAGAAGCAGACACTGGCTGATTGGAGGTGACCATACACACACACAGCCAGCATGCAAAGCAAATATGGCTTAAAGATGTGTGACAAGAACCACTTGCTGCTGAGCTGGGAAAATACCAAATACTATACAGCTATAGTGTCCTGGAAAGACTCATGTGGAATACAGAATAGATCTGGTCACTGCTGTTTGAGAGAGGTTTATTTCAAAAAGCACATTTCAGCCAAAAAACTCTGTGTTTGTTTAGCAAAACAAAGGACAAAGGAGAGCGACTGTGAGGTGTCAAATACAGAAGGGAGATTTTCCATGCAAGTAGATGGGAGCTGTCTCTTTCAACTAAACCAAAAACAAACCGATGGAAACTTAAATGAGAAATCCAAAAAAACCTTGTTAACCATCAGTGAAATTCTTAAGCATGTCTCCAACAGGACGAAGCATGCCTCAGAAAAATGTAATGAGCATGTGGGGAATGACTGCCCTGTACTTAGGATACCTGTGGGAAGCATTCACATGGCATCAAACAGATGAACCAGTAGAACTCATGAGCTACAGCACAGACTCTACAGGTTGGGTCATGCCCCAGGCACGGGGCCTGGGCAAGCAGCAAACGGATGGAGACAGAGAGGGAAGCAGCCATGGGAGGACGAAAAACAGTGAGCTGAGAGGTGGAGGCCCTAAGCACAACCCAAAGAGCCCATCACAAAGGCCAGCTGCTGCAGACAGAGTCCCAGAGCAAAGTCCTGGGTGGCAGCAGTGTGCAATTACGAGCAGGCATTCTACCTGTGTAGCCCAGTACTTGCCACAACTGTGGGCTTTTGGTATTTGCTGAGGCTGATAAGCACCTGTCCCTAGTATCCCATTCTCCATATGTCAAAAAGAACTCCTGTTGCCAAAGACATGGCTGTTCATCTTACCAGTCAACCTTTCTTTTTATTTTTACTTCATGCAATTTAAGGACAGTCAATCAGTAACACATAGATCAGGAAATTCTTTTTGACTGAGAAAAGTTAAAATATTATTAGAAAATAGAACCTTTCTTGCATGAGACATTTTCAAACACTGCAATTACTGATACTGATTAAAACTGGGTATTCATAGGACATCACTAACAGTAATTAAAAGTATTACTCAAGAGACAGAATAACATTTTTTTTAATCAGTACTTTCTCAAACCAAAAATCTAGAAAAGCACTCTTGCTGTATTTTGAAGTTACGAATAACTTTATTAACTGCAAGAGTGTTGGAATTAGGCCTACTTTTAAGTACTTCAGTGAACTGGACTATGTGTTAATGAATATAATAAATATTTGAATAATTTTGTGATTACTAGGAAGATACAACTGAAAAATAAAAAGCTTAAAGAGAATCTCTAAGCTCTTTTATCTGTAATTTATTGTTCCACTTATTTACTGCACATGGCTACAATGTACACATCAAACTGAAATATACCTATACAGCAACAGTTATCATGCTTATGGTTAGGATTATAAAAAAAACATACTAAACAGACTCTCACTTCCTTTCAGTTAAGAAATCTGTTTCACAGGCTCCAAGGACAGTGGTTTGCAGCATATACACACAGAAAATGCATCCTCCTCCAGCTCACTACCCAAATGAAACACTTCTTAAATCCATGGGACTAGAAATCCTAACACCTCAGGAGGATAGTCCCTATGCAAGTGCATATGGTGGAGGAGAGATAACATACAGTCTCTTGAAACACAATCAGAACTATAAAAGATTCCCTTAAAGAATATAATGGTGGTAATATTCCTGCCTATATCGTCCAACATATATTACTGAGTCTTTATTTATAAGCCCTTCTGCAGGTTGTTTAGATAAATTACAAAGGAGAGATTTCACACTTTTCCTGATTTTGGACCCTAGCTAATGAGAGGGGTATGGAATATTTTAAAATATGCAAAAGATGTAGTAATCTATGCTACTCTATAAAATGCTAATAAATATATTTAGCTTGGACTTATAAAAAAATGTAGAGAACTCTGGTTTCTTCATTCTCCTCAAGCATTTTTGTGTATACTGAATACAATCTTGATACATACCAAAAATCCTCCTGTTTTTGAGTTCTGTATCAGAGTCAATCCCAGATTCATGTCTTCCTTTATTTCAGTCACATTTGGAATATTTATTAAAGCTGAAATAAAATGAGATTAAGTAATGACAGAATAATAAATAAGATGTAGAAGCAATTTAATAAATTAGAATTCCTTTACAAAAACTTGATTTCTCAGAATCTAAGATGCCTTTTCCAAATGGCTGCATACAATTCAGAGACAAAAGAAACAAAAACCGATCTTTGTAAAAAAATTGTTAGCCATTAACTGTAGAGATGAATCAAGTATGACCATTTAGAGTATCTGCCTTCAAGAATGCTGAAAGCAAAAAAGAGAGAAACACACTACCTATTGCCTATTTTTGGCTGGCTGAGTAGTTGCAGCTGAGCAGCTACTGTTACATTCCTCAGGACATTCTGATTCAGTTATCAGGGTTTAGACAAAAACTTGGCAGGGGGGTGGAGGGCAGAAATGCTCTGCACCACAAAGAAACATAAAGTAGGCATCTCAGCACGCGCTGCTGTCCAGTATTTTCACTGTACCGAAACGTGAACTCCATTTTATACTGTCTGCAAACACACAGACATCCCCCCTGTACCTGGTCTGGGGAAGACAGGGACACTCATCCTCCCAGCAGCCTACCCCAGGATGCCAGTAAGGAGCCCTTCAGGATGCACAGCCCTGGCTCAGCTGGCTTTGGGACCTACACCATTCCTGCTCCATGTCTGGAGGTTTAAGACCCCAGTAGGTGACATTGAGACCCCAGTGCCTCCAGCAGCTGGCACCACAGGCCAGAAGCCCACACCCCAGCCTGACTCAAGTTGCCAGCACCAATTATTGCTCAGACAGACACTCATCAGCAGCTGGTATTGAGAGCTTGCAGTACATTCCCCTGCCCCCCCCCACCCTCCGAGACTAAGAGAGAGCTAGTTAAGAAAAGTTTTAATGAGGGTAGATTGTCATTGTA